GAAAGGATCAGCTCTACCCCACGCCATCGAGCTGTCCAAAATGATCGTGCGGATAGCTCGCTTGTGATCGAGTTCAGGAAGGTAGAAATCTCTAGTTCGACCGTGCAACATCTGTTCGAAGTTCTCTTCCCCTTCATCCAACAGCAACCATGGATAGCTTTAAAATACAAAGGCAAAAAGGCCTACACTTATGGACTAGCAGTTAGAATTCAAAAAAAAATAATGCAGTAAGAATATAAACATATATTTATTTGCGGAGGTGCAGTTAGAATATACACCTGCAGTTAGAATATACAAAGAACAACACCACATCAACAGCAGCAAGCGCAAGTGCAACCAGCAAGAACTAACAGCACACGGGAACTCTACAGTACATGAGTAGGGTGCAACTCAATCCTGGAACTCTACATGAGTGGTTTCCCATATTCTAACTGGACTGCCTGTTCCATATTCTATCTCAGGCTCCACTGAGTTGACTAGGAAATTTAATTCCTATAAACTTTAAGATTTCATATTCTAAGTGCTGGTCCATGATAGTAATTAGATTTGACTCCACAGAACATCTACAGGAGCCATTGAGAGCGACCCTCTTTTCGGCGACACGCCTCTGTTGGAAACCTCAGGCTGCAGAGGCACAACATGGGCTGCGGGGATCTGACGATGCCCTCTTCGTCTTTCTCACAGCTTCGCCGAGCCAGGCGTCTTCGGCACCCAGAAATCCACCCACTTCGGTTCTCCTTTTCGGAATTCTCCATGTTTTACATGCACACTGCACACTTGTCACATAGTTTCAGAAGCTTCCAGATGTAGATTGATGGTTCTTGCCATTGATCAGGTGCAGCATCACTATTGGTCACATGGTGTGATGTTCATGGTGTGTGACTTGCCTTGATTTTTATTTTATACCGTTATATACCGATTCTGCACAGAAAGCATTGGGATACTGTGCACATCCCATGACAATGAGGTGCGTCTTTGGTCTACTTCCCAGTGTGTGTCCTCCTCGGATTTGCTCTTCACTGCTTGCCTCGCTCCAAAATGAAGCTTGAGATGAGAAGGCATGGGAGATGGGAAGGGCAGCTTTCTTAAAGCTCAGCTTCCAGAATCCATCAGGAAGCTGAGCTTCCCTCACTGCTCATTTTGCCCGCCCTGTCTTGGCAGGTACTAGTTGCGCCGGTGCAAAAAGATCCGCAGAGCAGATTCGCTTCAGTAGCACTGGGTGTGTAGGTGTCAAGGGCGCGATTCTTATTGCCAAGTATCCACAGCTGGTTGCGGCCGTCAGAGTAAAACCACAGGGCAACATACCCCGAGAGTCAGCTTTGCGTATTTTTGTGTTTGGGGATTTGGCAACCATGTGTGGACATGAAGGACAAGACGGTTGCCAAATGAGTGGTTTAGGTGACAAGCCCCCATGTCACTTCTATTTCACAACGCAATTTGCTCTGAAGAGGTGCAGCATGCCCAATTCCAAGTTCCAGCGGAAGTATTCGCAGAGCGCCGAAGAGTATGACTTCTTCATCCTCAGCACCAGAGCTGCGCAGGCGGAAAACGGCCGCTTTTGGAATATGCTCATCACCCTACCAGTGGGGCGCTTCGCAGGCGAGAGAGTGCCAACGATCCTGGACCCTTTGCACGGCGGACGTTCCAAAGGAACCATTGCTGGTGTTTTTCCAAGATGCAATTGTTTTGTGTTGACTACTGTTGCTGATTGCTGCTGTTTGGTTGTTGTGATTGGATATGGCAGTTAGTTTGTCTCTCGTGACTCTCGTGTCACTATCGGTTGATGGTGAATGGTGAAGGATCACGTCAACTTTGAGCCGTGTGCCGGACGATGAACGCGGGGGCAAGATTCGAGCAGCTTGGTTCCTGCAAGGTTTCCTTTGTGCATTTTGAATGTAGAAGCAGTGATCAGCCAACTACAGTTTTAAGACGGTTTCTTGGGTGTTGATTGCGATGTAGATGATGTAGATTCTGGATGTTCTGAAGCTCTTGATTTGCTTAGATCGGGGAGATCCGAGAAGAGCTGGGTGGCTATTTTGTGTCTCGGTATCATACAGCTATTGAAAGGGTTTGATCATGAAGCAATTGTGAAGAGAACTGAGTACACAAAGCAGCAAAGCAGTTACTGTCCTTAAAACATCTTGAAACACAGCAACATAGTCGAGGATTAGATGCTCCGTTGAAACAAGAGACCGTGCATGCTTGGGTCGTGTAGGGCGTACGCCCCAGGAGAGCCAACATCGTTTTGTGAGAAATCATGAGGAGTTGTTGTTGCAGCCGGTGCCCAAGGCGAGGCCGTCACCGCGCGGGATGTGTTTTTGTTGTTGTTGTTGTTGTTGTTGTTGTTGTAAACTTTGGGTATGTCATTAACAACACGACTTCATGATTTAGTCAGATACTTGAGATGTATCCAGTTCCTGAAGGCAGACAACTGCAATTCAGCCGCAGCCTCAACTGCACCAAGAAGGCTACGGCTAATTACCGCTACACTGCAGCTGTGTTGAGTCAATGAAGCATCCTAAGGCTCACGGCATACGCCGCCGCCACGTAGTTTAGCACCATAGTGGCAGTTGCCACGTTTGCTTAAGATTGCGTGCAAAAGGAGCGCTAGCTTTGGTTCTTATGGGATTTGATCATACCTAATTCTTGATTCTTCTCCACGGTCAAACTCCCTCGAACTGATTGACACTTGGCAAGATGGTTTTTGGCATCGCTATCTAGAACTACCAGCACTTCCAACCCCATAGGCCCATAGGCTAAGTCTAATATAGTTTGCTCTTAGGTTGGAGGCCATCGCTAGTAGGTTGGAGTTCATCGCTATTAGAAACAAAGAAAAAAGACCGTCAAAAGGTCTAATATAGTTTGCAGATACTCAGCAACATTTTACCTGAGATGGTTTTCTGTGTTTGAATGGCGGTTGTAACCATCCAGGTCAAGCAAGTTGTAAAGAGAAAGGCAGTGCCTTCAGGTCAGGCAGCTTGGGATTGGACACTTGCTCAGAGTCCGATCGATCGTGCATGTCCTGCTCTAAAAAGGCGAGAATGCGGCAGCATGCCCATGCAACTGAACATGCATGTGCCAAAGTGTGCCACAGTACATGGATCACCCTGAGGCTTTGGCATTTTTCTTGAATACCACAGGCCTTTGATAGGAAATCCTCTAAGTGTCTTAATCCGATTCAAGGTACTTGGAGGCAAGAGCTCCTGAAAGCAATTCAGCCAGCACCCCCCCCACAATCACTTTGGACCCCAAACCACATTGTTGCTTTTCTCTTGGGCGCTTCTGCCAGCGTGGGTTCACAGGAGCACCTTTCTTTCGCTTTTTTCGCCTCATGTGGCGTGTCAATGGCTCGCCACAGACGCCAATGCTGTGGCACGCCTCCCAGGTGTTGGCATATTTTGGCATATCTCCCCATTAAATTCTAAGGACGGGATAGTTACGACCAGGATGTAAGGTGCTCTATAATTCCTTTTGTAAAATCCTTTGTAAAAACAATGGTTGGAATATGTTGGAATCCTAGGGACTCCTATTATCTTCGATGGACTCTACATGACTGGAGTGCGTTGAATGACTTCCCTCTCCTCCGCCAGGTTGCGGATATGTCCTGACCATCAGCGTTTTTGCCAGCACCTCTGCCATGCATGGTCGGCCATCCGACGGGTGTCCCGTTCTGGCCGAGGTGGTCAGCTTGGGCCTGACAGCCGTGAGGCTCAGACCCACTGAGACGACCCACTCAGGTTGCAAGCACTGTGCTGACTCGGCTTTTTCACCTCCGAACACGGAGACTGAATACCCCCGCCAGATCTCTGAACTCTGACTCTTCAGTGACTCTAAGGCCTTAGCGGCAAATTTGTACTTTCTTCACCCAGACAGACGAGGTGTTCGCGGTGCGCACGCAGGCGCGCCACGTCGTCGCCACATCACGGCATCGTCTTCCGAGACCTCGCAGGCCGAGAGGCTCCAGCTCGGGAGGTGGAAGCTGCAAAGGACCACAACGTGAAGTGCTTCAAGTTTGTTTGTTCAGGGTGTAAAGCATGCTACTAGGGGCTCCTGGCATCGCTACCAGGAGCAAAGGACGCTACTAGGGGCTCCTGGCCTTACTATTAGGAGCAAGAAGCTACTAGGAGCAAAGCATAAAATATAGGTTCCTGAGAGCAGAATTTCTCAAGCTTGACTTTGTCAGCAGCAACTTCCCCAACTGAATACTCGCTATTTGGCTCAACATCTCCGCGGCTTGACTCAACGCAGTATGCCGATTTCCCCCGGTGCAAGCGAAATCAACTTGCGCCGGAATGATCTGGGTCTACAGCCCCACCCTCAGAACTGGAGTCGTGCTGAGGAAACACCCTGAATATCCCTGAATCTTCCTTTGCAGGATGCTGTTGCAGATCTCAAAATCTTTAGGGTCGACATTGCCACTGATGCTTTGCTTAAGCTGACCTCATCATGCAGCCTGCTGCACTTTCCAATCTTTTTGCTAAGGCCTACCCCTCTTAGTGGGCGTTGTGCTGGCAGACTGCAAAGGAGGCTACGCTTGCGGTTTGTGTTGGAAAAGATACCACTCCATTGATGCACTTAGCCTTTGCACAGCAGACTTTGCCATCGCAGAAACGCGCAGAAGGTTTATATGAAGAAAGCTGGTTCATGCTGTTTCCATGTTTTGTCTTGACACTGAGTTTTCGAAAAGTGGCCACCTCCTTGAAGCATGGCAAGGCAATGTGGGAGGCTGCCAGAAAGGCCATCTTGGCGTAAGGCTGCTGCAGCAGCACCAGACACATGGCTGTAAACTTATATAGCGAAGCACCAAACTCCCCTGCTATCACTTTGCAAATGAGTCCTCACATCAAACATTGAGGTGAATGCAAAATGGACATATCTAGATCTCAGTCCCATAAGCTAGACATGCTCAAATCATGTGAAGCATCCCTGCTCGCTGCCGAGGCACTTGGGAAGACATGGACGGTCAACAACTGTGCAGAAGGTGGGCCTCTGCATTTGCTTGAACCAGCGCCAACGAAAGGAACAAGAAGTTGCGGGGGCGGCCATATGCGGTCTTCAGTTCGGCAGAGTTTGTTGGGTGTTTTTGATTTGGGTAGGCATTATAAGTATTTATAGAATGTTATAAGTCCTATTTGTTGCCTTTCTTGCCTTTCCTGCTGTCCCACAGAAACGATCAGAAAAGCACTCATTTTTGGTGAGAAACATCAGGTTTCCCTGCAAAGCTCCTCACTAGACGTGCTCTCAGAGCCCGTTTCTTGGCAGCAAATCTGGGGCTGCACCCTGAGTATTGCTGTGAGAAAGTAGGTATTTGAGCCAAGATCGGATCTCAAAAGTGCTTATCGTCTCTTTGGAGGTGCATTTGTGCGCTCTCAACGGGTCTTGGCCATTTGATGCAAGGTGGAACTGCCGGCAGTTCACTCGGAGGTGTCTGAGGATGGAGCTTTAGCATTTGTCGCTGCCTCAGAAGTGGAGGTTCCAGCATTTGAGTCGCTGACAAGATCTGCAAGACATTGCAAGTACCTCTAGCAGTAGCATTTCAGAGGATAACCTGCTTGTATATGCTCGTATGTGATTTCTTTGATTCTGACCTAAGCCTGACATGCTCGAGTCAGTTCTGTTTGCCCGTGAGCGATCACGTCCAATCACTGAATTCGGAGACTTCTCGTTTTGATCACACCATTGATTTGTGTGAGGTCCACTTCAAGCATCGTGGCCGCCACCATGTTTACAATTTGTCCGCCTTCAGTGTTTACAGTTTCTTAGCGCAGCATCGTTGCATTCTTCTGTCAAAGCATGTGTGTAGTACCGAAGATGATCAGGCAGTGGACATGACATAACATGGACGAGGATGTTCTCGTTCTCGTTCTCGTCTCGCCACTTAATTAGACATGTGTGGAATTCCCCGATAGAGTGGGTCACGGTCCGCTCACGCTCGGTCTATCAAGGACATTTACACCAACTGGCTAACTCTAAACCCTTTCTGAGGCCGAGATGCTTTGGCATTGGTCCAAACCGCGAATGGAACAGAACTCCTGAAGACACGACCCCGTAGCTTCAGGCGGAGAGAAGCTGTCCTGTGTTCAAATCCATAGATCAATTGAGTTGCTATTAGGTTGAAGGCCATCGCTCTTAGATTGGAGGCCATTGCTATTAGGTTGGAGGCCATTGCCATTGAGTTGGATTCTGTGTTTGAACAAGTTTGAAGGTCACGAACACCTGGAGCCTGGGCCACTGCATGGCTACAGGAAGGGCAGCTTGGCAAAGGCAGTTTGCGGAAGCTGATTTGGCCTACGGTGTGACCGTAGAGCTGTTCAGCTTGGGGTGGGAATGAAGGGGTGGTCAAGCATGGATAGTGTGCAGCCAAGGACCGTGTCTGGCCTCTTTGAAGATGGAGGCTGGTGAAGAGTGAAAGCATATGAAAGCATTTTTTCTTCTGCACCTTTTTCAACTTTCAGAGTCTTTCAGAGCACACATTCAGAGAATCTTGGCAAGACAAGATTGAAGTTTGACCTTCCTTCCGACCGTTTCCTGCACACCATGGCAGGTCGCATCATGAGGATAGAATTAGCTGAGCATAAACGAGACTTATCTGAGTTGAGCTGCACTGTGATGGTTTCAACATGAGGGCCCCAGCGATATTCCTTACTGTAAGAATATAAAGGCTGGGTCCCTAGTGTGAATCACACCCCAAACCCAAAGGAAAGTAGCCCAAACGCTTTGGGGTGGGCCTAGTGGGCCTGGGGGACAAAGTTTTTGGAGTCTTGGAGCTGATACCCTGAAAGTGGTCATATGGGTTAGCCTCCTGTGTGAGTGTAGCGGGTTCTACTCCCAGAGGTTCTCAAATCAAGTGACCAGCAATGATCGGGGGCTTGGGAGAAGGAGCGATGTTCACCTGCCATCCTCATCTTGGACAGAAGATGTTGGTGTTTTGGCCCCGCCCGCGGTGACTCCCACGTTGAGGAGCGCACCAGCTCCAGCTCCTCACGATCAGGGCCAGCGAGGCGGGTTTGAGAGTCCGCGTGAAGGGCCCGCTTTTTGTGCATAGCAATCGGGCGAGATGAGTTGAGTCACGTTGATTCTATGAAGGATGATATCGTAACAAACAAGTCACCCTTCAATGGTGTGTGTGTGTGTGTGTTGTGCTTAGTATTCAATCCTGACAAAGAGCTAGACACGTTACAGGACATTCTGCACCAACGCCCATAGTGCACAACCCCTTTAAAATGTATTCGTAGAGCATGGAGTACACCACATGCAGCAGTTGGATGTGTGACGTATCACTTCAAGAGTTTGTCTATCAACGCTTCTTGCAGCTCAGACATGTTCACATGCCATCCAAGCATACCCCAGCCAGTGAACATGATCTCTACATTGGGTGGGTGCTAGGATTGAACTCTTGTGGGAAATGAGGGCTCCTCACAAGTGTGAGACATTTGATTTTTCTGGAAACTAAGTTGGGCAAGACCAAGGGGAATCGAAAAGCAAACTGCTCCTTTGGAGATGTCTGGATTCACGGGCTGCAAGACTTTTTACAATGCCACAGCTAAACATGTACATCTTGCAACACATACAAATGTACATCTTGCTGCGCTTTGCGCTTAATCACAAAAGGTACTCATACCAGCGACCGGTGGAAACGAAATGAGAAGCCACGACCGAAATGGTCAGGCCCCACAAGAAGATCCGGACGGATTCGAACAGGCCACCTGCAGAGAACGCTGTTTTGTTGGAGGAAAACGCTAGTAGGTTGGAGGCCATTACTACTAGTAACAAGAAACTACTTACTAGTGTTCTTTTGTGCAAGCCGCCCTTTGTTAAGCAACTGCTGTAGCGATGACGCGATGGTATTGTGCAGGTCAGCGACAGCGGGTGGATCATTCCGGACCTTTGGATGCAGAATGGCCGTCGTTGCAGAACTATGTAACATTTTTGTAACAACGTCAGGGGATGAGTTGAGGCCATCGCTAGTAGGGAGGCCATCGCCGCCATCGCAACTCACCGAAGAGCTGGCGAAAACGGGCTTCCCTGAAATCAGGAGGAGACGGGCTTCCCTGTCGAGGAAAGCATGGCATCGGTGGACCCAGAGAATTGGGGTGGATATCCGTGGTTTCCAGGCGGAACACCAAAAGGACTTTGCTCAGCTTGTGCCTGACTTGTGCCGTGTCTTGAACACATGGCAAACCAGTGTCTTGTCTCCAGTGAACTGCGAAGCATCAATGCCTTCTATCAGTCATGTGCAGCATTGTCCAGCTATGAGCCGTGAAGCCTGGCAGGCTGCTTTACAGGATGGGAGCTGCTGCTCCAGTCTCCAGATGTCTTCAGATGCTTTTCAGTGTTCCATCTTTGTTCCTTTTGTGCGAAGCGGTGACACTTGCAGACACACCCAGACAGTAAAAGCCTTGTGACATCATTCCTGCAAATTCTGGCATGAGTGTATCGAGTCAGATGCAGGAGACCAGAAAATGCATGAATTTGTCCTTGGCACTGTGGCCGAAGCTCGGATGACCATTGGGGTCTTTGGACAGTTGCTGCTTTACAGGTCCTTTGGCAGTGGTGCAGGAGTCTGACAGAGATGTCAGCTGAGTTCAATTGTTACAACAAGAATGATGAACACTGCCGAGGATCTGAAGGCGTATGAAAGACATGGCAATGGATTGCAGTCGAACATAGAGAAGGCACGCTCATTTGTGAAGCTTGCAGACTGATTGCCCTCGGTGTTTTCTTTGGACACAGGTGGTGGCAGAAGCCTCCTTTGTCTACGAGAAGCAGCCCGTGTCTGAGATCATCTCACATCCCTTGGAAAGCGCGCGTGGTTTTGCGTCGTGACTTGGACGTCGTAACTTGACTTGCGAAATGAGGCTCAACATTGTGCTGAAGATTGGTTACGTCACGATCTCATTTTCTCATTGGTTCATGACTCGCATGTTGCACCATGTAAAGCCAAATGAAGGAAACATAAGAAACCATATGAAACATTGATGAACATG